TTAGGGAGAGCCGGGCTTTGTGGAGAGCTGGTGTTTAGGACCCGTCTTCACAGAGGTGTAGGACTTTGTTAGGGAGAGCCGGGCTTTGTGGAGAGTTGGTGTTTAGGACCCATCTTCACAGAGGTGTAGGACTTTGTTAGGGAGAGGCAGCAGCTGAAGGCAGAGGAGATTGCACAGATAGCAGAGTGCTCGGCGGCCTGTGTGGGCCTTACTGGTTCCTTTGAATGGAAGTATAGGGAAATGAAAACTGTGAGTCAGGCCGGACGTGAAGAGTTCTGAATGCCAAGGTGAAGAGTCTCCCTGTAATTCAGGAATCGATAAGGCACTACTGAAGACTGCTAAAGCAGAGGGTGATATGATTAAACCCAGACTTTACGCTGATCAGTCTGGTAGCTCTAGGGAAGGATGGGTTGATAAGAAAGAGAAGAAATTTAGAGAGAGCAGTTAGGAGATGACAGTAGTTGAGGTGAGAAACACTGAAGGCTTCACTAACATGCAGGGGCCAGTTAGTTAGAGAACCAGTTTAGAGGCAGACAAGGTGCGAGCTCCGCAGAGGTTTGGAAAGACCGGTCAGCGTGGTGCTTAAAGGCAGGGGCTCTGGGGCAAAGCCCAGATCCTGCCATTTCCTGCAGCGTGATATTAGAAAAGCTTCTTAAGGTCATTCTGGGCCTCATTTTCTGAAATATCCTTTGTTGTGGTTGAGATAGAGTCTTGCTCTGTTGTTATGGTTGAAATAGAGTCTTGCTCTGTCACCCTGGCTAGAATGCAGTGATACCAAGACAGCTACACCAGCCTCAAACTCCTGGGCTTCAGTGAACCCTGTGGATAGCCTCAGGTAGCTGGGACTACACGCACCGCCCTCCCCCCCGCCCCTCCCAGTGCCCAGCTGGTTTTTCTGCTTTTTTAGATGAGGTCTTGCTCTTGCACAGACTGGTCTTGAACTTCAGACCTCAAGCAGTCTTCCCACCCCAGCCTTCCAGAGTGCTAGGATTACAGACATAAGCCACCATGCTCAGTCCTAAAATCTTCTGGATTTTAACAGGCAAATAGTATATTTTGTTTTACATACACTGTACTTTGTGTGTAAAATAATGTATTGGTACAAATGTGAGTAAAATAAGGTATCAGTACGGTTCCAGATATTTGGGTTAGAGTGTCTGTGAGCACTTGGAAACCTTCAAAGTTGAATGGTATTGTTTTCAAGACAGAGAGAGAGAGAGAGAGAAAATGAGATGCCTAAATTGGGGTAAGAATAGTGAGATTTGGTGGAATCCCTTCCATCTTACAAATGTGGCCAGACAGGATAGGAAGCAGGAAAGCCCCCAGGGCTGTGTCAGTCATTCCCTGCCGAGTGTCTTTGTTCTCTTAAACATTATCCCTAGTGAGAGAGTGGGGAGGGGTTAATACAGGATTATCCCTGAGCACCTGGAGGAATTCTTGTACAAGACGTCCTTCCCTATCTCGGCTGTGAGCAAATTCTCTAGGATATCTCCAGTTGTGTTTAATTTGGCTCAGGGTTCAGATATATAACGTGGATTCTTAGGTTTGATAGCTTTTCATTACTCAGACTCCATGAGTTCTTTTTACTGTGTGCATTGACCCAAGTTTCATAGAAACTTAACCTACCGCAACATAAAGCGTCTCTAATTCAAGTGGCAGTCTCAGTGCTCATTTGCAAACTTGTCTCCACTGCCTTCCGGGTGCCAAGACACAGGCTCTGGTGCTGAAGAGAATGCTCCCTTCCCGCAGAGACTTCACATCCTAAATTTTAGTGTTGAGCTCGTTAAGAAATCTCTGTTTTCATGGTTATAAATGTGCTGAAAGTTTTAGTAGAGCCTTCTCACTTTAATTCGTGGTTGTAATTCTTTTTTTAAGGGAGTGACAGATCTCTTGCTACTTGATACAGCAGTAAGAAATTGAGGAAAGACCATGACCCGGTGCAAAGGTCACAGAGCTGTGGACTCACACAGACCAAGCGAGTTCCACACCAAGCGAGTGACTTTGGGCAAGTCAGCATCTCTGCGCACCTGTGTCCTTAAATATAAAGTGGAAATAGCAATACTTCATGAGATTGCCACCAAGTTAAATTGTAGTTCAGCAAACAGAGCACTTACATGCCAGTCACAGGCCCCGCCTCTGTGGCTTCAGAGGTCCTAGGATACAGTCCCTGCCCTTGATGGGTTGGTAGTCTAGTGATTACCGATTATTACTATTTAGATAACAGTGAGATTCCCGTCTTAGATAGACTTAGAGGACTTATATCTGCTGCATAACATGCAGGAAATGTTCTCTCTAATTGACTTCAGATGACTCTTTAGGGAAGAGTATGTCCCGCCTCCTTCTCATGAATTCTAACCACTCATTTTTAACAGCCCTTCCACTAGCAACTGTAAACACACAAGAATGAAACCGGCATCTCCAATTCTTTATTGATCAGAGTTTGCCCTTCACAGCTATTGGAAAGAGCATTGTATTTGCAAGGGCTGCCATAACAAAATACCTCAGCCTGGTGGCTTAAACATCAGAAATTATTTTGTCACTGTTTTGGAGGCTTGAAATGCAAAATCAAGGTGCTGTCAAGGTCGATGGCTGGTGAGGGCTTTCTTCCTGGCTTAGAGACGGCTGTCTTCTTCCTATGGCCTCACGTGGCTTTTACTCCACAGTGTGGAGAGAAAGATCCCTGGCGTCTCTTCCCTTCTGTTAAGAACCACCAGCCCGGTGGGATCAGGCCCCCGCTCTTCTAACCTCAGTTAACCTTACTTACCTTCCTAAAGGTCCTGTCTCCAGACATAGCCACAGGGGGGTAGGGCATCGGCTTGTGAATCTGGAGAGGACACGATTCAGGCAGTGTCAGGTCTGTGCCTCTGGGAACAGTAACGGTTTTCCCATAGGAAAGAACTTTATTTTCATTTTGATGAGTCTGAAAAACACGAAGTCCAAAGAAGAAATGTAAGGCGGTGAACACATGGTCTAAAAAATCATCTTGTTTGATTGGACATGATCATCACCACTCTTGCAGAAGCCGGTAATATCTGCTTCCTGGAATATTAATTGACTATCTATTTATTCCTCTCTTCATTTTCCCTAATCAGCTCTGTAATGCTGAGCATGCCACTTGTGTATTTATACCCTCTCTGCTTCCAAAAAGACGTCTTTCGTTCCCTCCGTGATTGCAAGACTCCTAAACCCTGCTATCCTGTTTTCTAGAAAGTGACTGTCACAACAAAATGTTATTCCTCTGTCCTTCTCAAGTTCTCAGTTGGTTGTTGTGGTCCAGGTCGGATGTGAGTTGTCGAGGACAGTGTGCTGCGCTTGGTCTGGCACAGCTCAGTCCTCTACTTACAGTCAGAGCTGGTGAGAGCCAGGGGCTGAGAAGGGGCAGGCATCGTAGTTACCTGTCGGTGTCTCATTTCCAGCGCAGCACCCCCTGCTGAAGCCTTGCCCTAATAATTTAGACTACTTGCTGATGATGAGGGTGACAAGATTATACCAAATATAATTTATTAAGAAGTTTAAAGTTGGCTTGGCACTTGTAGCTCAGTGGCTAGGGCGCTGGCCACATACACCGGAGTTGGCAGGTTCACATCGAGCCCCGGGCCTGCCAAACAACAATGACAACTACAAACCCCCCAGCCCCCAAAAAATAGCCGAGTGTTGTGGCAGGTGCCTGTAGTCCCAGCTACTTGGGAGGCTGAGGCAAGAGGATCACTTAAGCCCAAGAGTTGGAGGTTGCTATGAGCTGTGACACCATGCACTCTACTGAGGGTGACATAGTGAGACTCTTGTCTCAAAAAAAAAAAGAAAGTTTAAAGTTCATGTTGTGACATTGTGTCTAGTGAAATTAATTTAAATGATTACTGCTTAAAAGGAAAAAGAAGTTATTTAACCTCAAGAAAAAAAGCTATATAGTCTATAAACCTGAGGAATGACAATGGAAGAAAAGCTGTTTCTTTATTGCCCAGAGTGGTATGCAGTATTTTTTTTGCAGTTTTTCGGCCAGGGCTGGGTTTTGAACCCATTAATGTGTTTGCCATTTATATCACACTGACACTTTGCTAATGCTATTTTAGGCTCTATCTTACGCAGTGTATCCAATGATACTAACATTGTAATATATCAAATATAAAGCATAGTCTAAGTATCTTCCAAGTAAATTCAAATGTGAAGTATATTTCTAACATACCCTCCAATCCTTGAAAATCATGAACCTGAAATTCTGACTGGGAAACCTCAGTGCCTCCATTTCACAGTCTGACTCTTATATGCTTGTGATCATTTTAAGGCCTTCGAAAGAAAGAGAAAGGAGGAATTAGTTTTACCGAGTTAAGGACTTTGCATGTTACCGTATACAATCCCAGCTTCATTGTAAAGCAGTTATTACCCCCTCTTTGTAGGTTAAGATGATTCAGAGAAGTTAGGTAACCTGACTGAGGTCCCGCAGTTAGTAAGTAGTGAAGCTCAGAATCAGACTCAGGTCTTGGGAGAAGGGAAGTGAGAATCTTATACCATCTTGTCCCTTTTGTTTGTTTGAATTTAAAGCTCACTATCCCTTACAGTGACCATAGCACGAAAAATACATCCTTCTGCTTCTTACAGTCTAGTGAGATCATTGCTCCCTCGGATGTTTTCTCATGTCTGTTACAGTCAAATCACAGTTGATAAATTATTCTGGTAGTTTGAAGGGAAGAGAATGAAAGGACCATCCAGCAGCTTCATCCTTAATATTAATCTGCCAATTCTCATAAGCGAAGATCATCTTTTAAATGATTTCTTTAGAAGAAGCATCTGTAATGCCTGTTTGAGTGGCATAGTTAACAAAGGACCCTGAGAACAGACGTAAACCATCGAGCCTTCTGTAGTAGATCACCCCCCGGAACCCGACTCTCTCAGCAAGAGGCGTCCAGGCTGAGCATCTCCTTGAAGGAAGGACGACAGACATTTCTGTCCCCTCCAAGTATCTGCTGCTTCTCTTTTTCTTTACTTCCTCTTCACACACACCCTTGCTAAGAAATATGTATCATGTCACCCACAGAAAGGAAAACACCAGGGATATAGCACTTACTTTAGGGCATCCAGGGCTCAGTGCAGTCAGCTGGGAGTGAGTGTCTATGCCGCCCGTCCAGGGCTTGGTGCAGTCAGCTGTGGGTGTCTATGCCACCCGTCCGGGGCTCAGTGCAGTCAGCTGGGGGTGAGTGTCTATGTCGCCCGTCCAGGGCTCGGTGCAGTCAGCTGTGGGTGAGTGTCTATGCCGCCCGTCCAGGGCTCGGTGCAGTCAGCTGTGGGTGTCTATGCCACCTGTCCGGGGCTCAGTGCAGTCAGCTGTGGCTGAGTGTCTATGCCGCCCGTCCAGGGCTCAGTGCAGTGGGTGAGTGTCTATGCCGCCCCTCCAGGGCTCAGTGCAGTGGGTGAGTGTCTGTGCCGCCCGTCCAGGGCTCAGTGCAGTGGGTGAGTGTCTATGCCGCCTGTCCAGGGCTCAGTGCAGTCAGCTGGGGGTGAGTGTCTATGCCGCCCGTCCAGGGCTCAGTGCAGTCAGCTGGGGGTGAGTGTCTATGCCGCCCG